GGCCCCCGGGCAATTCCTAGAGCCGCCAGCCTCTAGGAGGGACAGGTCCCTGCCCCATTCCCCGCCCCCCTGAGCCAGCCAGTCCCTGCCCCATTCCCCGCCCCCCTGAGCCAGCCAGTCCCCGCCCTGGGGCTGTGTAGGAACTGGCACCCCCTAGAGGGGACAGGCCCCTGCCCCATTCCCCGCCCCCCTGAGCCAGCCAGTGCCCCCCAAGTGATGTCACACGGGGGCCCATGTGGCAAGTCCATGCTGACCAAGTCACTGGTCACTTTTATTGTTTAATCCAACAGATGGAGGCCATGAGCCAGGTCCCGGCAAGGATGGGGGGGGTCCCTTTCCCCAGCCCCCCATCACCCCAAAGTCAGAATCCCACCCCCCTATCTGCATCCCCTCGGGCTCCAGCGTCCAATTCGGGGAGGTGTTCAGTCTTCGCTGGGTGTGGGGAGGAGAGGAGCGGATGGGTGGGCAGTGGTCCAGAAAGGTCAAGCCCCCCCCCCCATATAAACATAGCCAGACAGGTGTGCTTGGGGGTGGCTCTGTGCCAGTGGAGGGGATCGGGGGGTCGGCTCCCTTCCAGTGGGGGCAGGCTCCGGGGGGGTCTACGTGCCACGGCTCTGTCCTGGGGTGCCAAAGCAGGCTCTGTGCCAGGGGGCTAAGGTCCAGGGACTGGCTCCGTGCTCGGGGACCGGCTCCGTGCCGGGACAGGGGTGTCCGGGGCCAGGCTCCGCGCCGGGGGGGGGCCCTCCCTCAGGGCGGGGGCGCAGCCCGGCACACCCGGATGTGGATGGCAGAGTTGTTGCGGGCCCGGGCGAGGGGCGGGCGCCCGTCCTCGTCGCCCTGGGGCTCCAGCCCGTCGGCCAGCGGCACGGTGGAGGTGTTGGCGGCCAGCCGCAGGGCGCCGGCGCCGCCCGCCTGGAGCTGCAGGGCGATGTTGATGGCCCGGTTGATGGCCAGGCCCAGCCCGTGGATGCAGATCTCGGCGCAGCCGCCGCCGGGGCCCAGCAGCTTCTGACACCGGCTCAGCTGCGCCTTGAAATCCGTCTGCATGTTGACGTAGACGTCGCCCGGGCGCCGCGGCAGGCGGGGGGCAGGCGGCGCCGCAGGCCAGCTCCGCCGCGGGGGGCGCCGGCTCCGCCATGGGTCTGGGGGGGGAGAGAGGGGGGAGTCCAGGGCCGCCTGCCCCCCACGGTCCCCCGAATCCGGCCTCCCGGGCGCCTGAGCCACCGCCCCTCTCAACTGCCCCCACTTCCCCCTGCTCCCGACGTCCCCCAGCCCCCCGGAAC